TTTAGAATTATTACATAAAACAGTCTATTCACATAGATGAGATTGGTTACTGTTATGTTTACATTTTTGTAAGAATTTTAGAGATAAAAATCACTTCCTGTAGATCTTTTACTTCCATTTACTCCCAAAATGACAAGCAACAAAATTCTAAAAAATGTTCAAAATTAACCAATTTTATCATATGAAATCATATCTTGAAAATTGATGAAGAACTGGCATTCTTAAGCAACCTGGCTTTGTGGGGCATACAATTTCTTTTTCTTCCTATCTTAATGACTTGTTTAGGTACTTCTTAGAATGTGGAAGTGTCTCTTCCAAATCAATATTTATTGCTACATAATATCAGAGGTGAAATAGGGCCCAAAAGGAAGCAAAAACATGACCTACTTCCTACAAAGGAAAATTCTGGGGAGAGTGGGAGAAGATAGACCTGGGAGAGAGGGAAAAAGAAGATGATGATGTAATAAATCTGTGGTATTTCTAGTCTGATATTGTGTCTCACTGAGTAAAGACCAGGCTTTACCTCTCAGAGTAATCTGAAAGTCTATCCTTATGCAGGATAGGAAGTTACAGCCCTCATCTCTAGTATTTCCCTGCAATGATAGAGATTGACACATACAGTGATTAAGATGACACTCAAATGCAGATTCCCAACATTGTCAACTTCCAAGAGGAATGCAATATATAGTTACAAGATTTGGAATTTAGTATGGTAAGACAAGTTCATATATGAGTCATTGAAATGACATTGCTAGAGATTATATCATAGTAAACGTCTACATATAGCTATGTCAAAGATGCAAAATCTACAACAACTGTAACAACATTCTATTGTTTTGTGGATGATATTATTCATACAATACATATGACTATGCTCATACTACTTTTTATCTGGTTTCTTTGGGGCAGCAGTCGTTGTCACAGAATTAATATGATCATTGTCTCATTTCTAAAGTATCTAAAGACTAAATACCTCCAAGGAAAAGAGAAGATAACACTTTTAAGTTCAATCTGGGTCTAAGATATTGATCTGCATGCTCTCATTTCATCTTTAGAAACTTTTCCAGGGAGGTTTTATTATTATCCTAATATAGACGTGCAGAAACTGAAATCAGGCAGGAGAATTAACATGGTAAATGACAAGCCAAAGTGACAAATTTGGGATTAAATTTTGACTTGAATGACACTTCATGCCTTCCCATACTAATTTAACAATACTCATAATTGTACATCTACTAATATTTATTGATCAATAAGAATGATAATAAGGGATCATTTAAGGAAAATGGTTCAAAATAGATGACAGAGGTTTATACCAGGGACTTCAAAACACTCTAGTCATACAATCTCACATAATCCTCAAATCAACCCTGTGAAAAAGCATGGCTTTATTTAGAAAATAAAGATTTTTAATGTAAAAAAATTAGATTGCTTAGTGTTTAAATTGCAAAACAATTTACAACTTTTGAGTCATAGCTGAATTAAACACATTCCATGATATTAGCTTTGGTTCTGTCTTAAACTTTATTGTGTGCATTTAACTATTATTACAGTTATGTATATAGCATCTATTAAATGAAGAGGTCAGGGCTTTCTAATTTTTATACACAAATGTATCTTAGGATGACTCCAAAAAAATAATGTGCTAAAATTAAGCTATCAATTTAATAAAATTTTTGATAACCCAAGTAAATTGATATTTTAATGAAAAATTACCAAGTTACCACTAAAATAAATTGCCCATATTTTTTCAATAAATGTATAATTAAAAGTTAGTGAGGTAAACCTGTAAATTTTTTTAAAAAGTAAAATAAAGAACAAAATATCTTAAAATAACAATGGATATTACAAAAATATTTCTAAAGCAAGTGCATACTGTATTTTTCTTACATATTACATGTATTTTTTTTAATTTTTCAGGAGAGTTTTTTAAATTACATATATTATTTTAAATGTAGGGAAGATGCATTAAAGTAGATTATAGAGAAAATAGTTATGAGTTTAAAAGAGTTCTGTGTTTAAGCACTATACTTTTTGTTGTTGTTTCTGAAGGATATATTATGCAAAGATACTTTACACTACACCATTAACATGCATAGTCCAATAGTGCTACAGAACTATAGCTGCAGAAAATATCTACATGTGACTACATTAATTGAGACCCCTTTCTTTGAAAATCTACAATGATGAACATATTTGCTAAATATATTTTCCTATTTTTGGATGGAGTTATTAGTTTGAAATATATTATTGATGATATTTCATTATGACCTACACAATTATCATTTTCATTGATAGTAATGAAAAGTTTTGATTGTTTTATTCTGTGATTCCCAAGCCCCTATCAAGGTGCCAAGGTGCCAAGTAATTTGTCAAGAGTATTTTTCTGTTGAAAGGATAAGTTGTTCAATTTCATTTGACTTAGAGCTCGAGAACTGCTTTCCAATGTATGGATGACATGGAGAGCATCCATATAACACCAACTGATGAGTTTATTAAAGTACTCCTAGGTCCTGTGCTTGACATACTAAATCAACCTCAGAAAGTGGGATTCTAGAGTCTGCATTTTAACAGGCTCTCCAAGTGATTCTTAAGGCAAATACAATCTCATGTTACTTTTCATGACAAGAGAGATATAATCACAATATACTCTATGGTAATGTTTAATCAGACTTTAGTTATCAGACTTTATGGAGTCTATTAACAATTTGAGTTTACTCAAAATAATAGAAACAAGATAAATTATGCTTCAATATTTATGCAATATGATAAAGAAACAAAGTTTATTGAATATTTACAATATCCTAAAGACTTTCATATGCATTTTACAATGTACTCTTCATCTAATACCAATAAGTGAAATAAGTATTGTTATCCATATTTTAAAGATGAAGAAACTCATATTAAAAAGACTTCACATAGTATTGCCAAAGCTGAAGCAACATAAATGGCTGAGCTGAGATTCAAAACTACATGTGACTTACTTCAAGGCTCAGCTCAACTCTTCCATTTTTGAATTTCAGCTGTTGAAGAAACAAGGAATGTTAGGAGAAAGGAGGCTTACCATCCAGGAAATAAGGCAGTGTTCTTAAAATAATTTTGGAGAAAAGTCAGGATAGGAAGTGAGTAGTCTTAATTTGTATATCTACTGGATAATAGTTGTGTTTGGAAAAACAAAAGTGTATTAGGGTTTCTATAATGGTTTTGTGACAAAGCAAAAGAAAAACAAAAAGATGTGTGCTTTAATAGACATAGTCCTTAGCAAACAAAAACTAGGTGATTATTTTTCACAACTGTTATCAAAGAAATTTCTGTATGTAGTTTTGGTTGCTTGGGGCATAGAATAAAATATCATGGTCTTCTGGTTACTTGATAACGTTTTATTGATAAAATAACTGAATATAATATACCTCTCATTATTGGTATGAACATAAGGAAACATCTATTAAATGAAGAGTAAAAGCTATGTTTGAGAAGAGAACTTTCAGGAAATATATAGTACAAAAAAATAATGAAAGTATGAGTTAGGAATATAAACGTATAATTAATAAGGGTGCCTAAACATGAAAATCATTATTCTTGAGTGATTTTGTCCAAAGAAAAGTACTAAACTGACAATGAAAACAGTTATCTACAGTTATATATATCTAATTTTTTTGGACAATTTTAAAGAAGTTTATGGAGATATAACTCCTTTCCAGATTTGGCAATGCACCGTAGTAGTTAAAAAAATATGAAAGCAAACTCTATGTCATTTTTCTGGTTTGCCAGAAGAATGCCAATGTCATTTTATAAATTTGATTTTCAACTTTCATATATAAAACAAGTATATCAAAATAGTGTAACTATTGCCAAAAGAAGTATGCTCTTAAAAATGCCATCATGAGGAGGAAATGGGGCTAAGAAGGGTGATATGCAGGAATACATTATTTCTAAAGATAAATAGTAAATGGCCAGGGAGAAGCCTCTTTGTCAATTTATGGAGTTAGCATGTTGTTAAAATTACATGATGAGTTGGAGGGATAGAAAGCATATTTTGAATAAACTGAGTTCAAATTTTTCTGCTATCAATGTTGGTAAGTCAAAGGTACTTATATTTTAGAAATAATTTTCTTCAACAGAAATTGATTTGAACAAATGAAAGAGATTTTAAGAAGGTTGCTCTTTAACACTGAGAAAGAAAAGAGATCTAAGTGTTTAATCTGATAATTTTTACATGTGTGAAAATGCCAATTCCATCATATTCTTAATCCAGTGCCTTTTTCTTTCTGTTTCAGTTTGGTTTATACTTGGGGCCTTATATAAATAGTTACAAAAAATAACGATAATGTAAATCTATGGAGTGCAGTGAAATATAAGATAATGTTTACTTGATTTCTTAGGAACTTGAATGCATCTGATGAAAACTCACCAATTTACATGAGAGTGACATTTACCAAAATGCTGTATTTTGTTGTGTTTGTACGTATTGGTCTTTATCAGGTTATAGATTGTATAAAGGCAGAAACCTACTGTCCTACTGCATAAAGATAATACTAAAGAGTTAAGAGTTAAATGACAGCCAGAATTTTGTGAATTTAAATTATTTTCATTTTCACAGCACAAGGTGGAGGAATTGTAATTGCAATAAGATATTTTATAGATACAGTTTATACCAAAAGTTTGCATGTAGGCAAACTTAAGAAACAATATTAAAAACCTAAGATTTTTGGCTCAATGAAAAACAACTTTAAATATTACAATTTGACTTTTTTCTCCTCTGAATTTATTTTTAGGCTAACTGTGGTAGAGTCACCTTTTTAAGAATTAAGCCATTTATTGCATTCCTACAAGTTACTTGATAAATTGGAGTCCAATGTGATATTTAATTATATGCAAAACACTGAAAATATTGGTTTCACCCAAAAGTTCCATAAGATGGTATGGAAAAACCTGAACGAACTTTTTGGCCAATCCAATACAATAGTTTTGAAAAACACTATATATTAAATTGCTGTTACCTTATCGCCTTCGGAAAAAGTGATGCCATCCACTGCTCTTTTCCACGTGATTTCTGGAATAGGCTCCCCTTCTGCTTCACATATTAGTGTGACTTGACCATTCTCATATGTAGTCTCATTTTTAAGCTGTATTATGTGAGGCTGTACTGTAATAAATATATACATTACTCAATCTGTATTGGAGGAAATATTACTATTCATGGTGACAATTTAAGTACCCTTTAGCATAGTATGGAATTATTAACTTTGAGCAGATATAGTGTCATGCTTTGCTTTATAAGAGTGCCAGGAGAGTTGCAAATTGTAGGAGAAAAAACTAGAAAATAATGCTATTGATTATGATTACAAAAATAATTTTAAGTGGTTTAGAAACCAACATAAAAAGGTATAATTCCTTCCAAGATTTTGTCAATTAAAAGCCACTTTATTATTTTTCCCTCAAGCTAAAAAATAAAATTTTCCTCTTGTAAAGTCACATGAGTACTTCTGTGTGTATGTCTGTGTATGGCATCTGCTTATGTAGTGATTATCTCTTAAACTTTAAAAACAAAAACCAAAGAAGAAAAATAATGATTGTATTCTGAATATATAGTAAGTGTAATTATGTGCAATGTTTAAAATATTTATCAAGTAAATATATATACATACTATTTACCTTTATTATTCTAGCTTATTTATTTTGACCTCAGACTACCTTAATATTATTCCATATTGTAGATAATTGTTTCTTTACAGTTATGACTTCTACAAAAACCAAAACATCATGTCTAGTAATTTAAATTACATTAATATTAAAAGTTACATCCCTCCACAAATTTACATATACCAAAGAGCTTTAAGTTTTTAAAGTCTGTATTATTGGCATTTCTTAAGTTTTTATTTGTTTGAACCTAAAAGTGATAAAAGCCAGCACTTACTATTTCAGAACAAGTAACAGGTTTCTTTTTAATCACCAAATGCAATCAATTATGAAATATAAATAACTTGTTCTTAATCCTAGAAAATTAGATTCCTGATATCAGAAACATGGCATATATATTTTTACAATTCAGTGTTTACTCCATTGACTTTAATGGATTTAGTTTTATTTCCACTTTATATACATGCTTTTGTGTCAAACACAATACAAATCTGTTCAGTGTTACTATACAAAGTGATTATACAGTGATATGGCATGTTATATTTCATTCATTATTTTCTATTTGAAAGGACAAAAATATTAGAAACTTTCTTTGTCTGTGTTCTTACTGCCAGATTAATTTTTAAAAGTAACTAAATATTTCATATGAGCTCATTTAGGTAGATTGAGATTATTTATCCTTTGGAATTATCTCAAACACTATCATTTCTAATTATTAATTTATTTTTATACTGAGTCATATTTAGCATTTACATTTTATAGAGAACATTTTCTTAAGCGGGAAATACTGATGGAACAAATTAGATGCTTTCTATAATTTTTAATAATTTTAAGTTTGTTTACTCTTCCCTCTATGTGAACAATTTTCTCCTGGCTCATAGCTTTGCGGATTTCTCATCATTAAAGATTTTTATGTAAACACATCTAAACATTACCCTTCTGAGCAACTTTCCAACACCATGATCTCCAAAATAACAGCTCTTTTTACCCAACACTACCTGATTAATCTAGTTTCACTTTCTTCTTAGAACATCTTATTATTCCAATTTTCTTTTTTAATATACTTTGGTATATTCTTTATTGTCTGTCTTATTTTGTTTGAATATAAGCTTTATGAAAATCTTTCTAGTATAGAAAAACATTTCTGTTACAGCTACTACAGGACCAGCTGTCAGAGGATGTGTCCACACATGTATTACCATTTGTCTTTTGGTCTAAGTAATATGCCTGCTTCTGCCAACTGCAACCACTGGTCCTTCTTACTCTTTTTTTTGTTGCTGTTATAACACATAACACTACTTTATTAGTAACCAATTACTCAGTGTTCAAATTTCCCTGGTTGTCTCATAAAACCTTATACAGTTGATTTGTTTGAATCAAGATCCAAATGAGGCCTATATACTGTGATTGGTTGAGGTTCCTCTTATGTCTATTTTGACCCATATTTAGTTACTGCCCCCACCCAATTTATTTGTTAAAGAAATCCTGTAGTTGTTTGTTTGTCCTGTAGTTTCTTTTTTTTAAAAGTTCAATACCAGATTCATGTATTATTTTATTCTTTTTTTTAATTGGAATATAGTTGCTTTACAATACTGTATTAGTTTCTACTGTACAGTAAAGTGAATCAGCTATAGATATACATATACCTCCTCTTTTTTTTTGGATTTCCTTCTCATTTAGGTCACCAAAGAGCACTTACTCTTATGGAGTACTCCCTCCTTCCTTCCCCTTTCTTTGTTGTGAAAGCTTTTTGATAACAATGTTTTTAAAAATGGAGAAAGCATACTAAATATTAGTAGTGCCTATAATTTTTAGTCTTTGCTTTTTAAAGAGAACAATCACATTCTAAATATTTACCAGCAAAAATTTTCCTCTTGCAAATATAATAGGGGCTAAATCAATAATTAAAAATTAATTTACCGGTTTTCTACTGTTTGTAAGCTCCCCAAAGAAGGCAATATGGCTCTTAGTAAATATGGAAGATATTTATGTACATTTCCTTTTAATAAAATGAAAAGGGAGTATTTAATTATGGTTACAGGTCAATGTTTCCAAAGTATAGCCTTATAGGTGAGCTCTTTTGAAGTATTAATATATTAAAAGTAAAACTGATCCCAACATATGTCATTTAAAGATTTATGAAGATCAACCCATAAATAATATAATAGATTCCAATATGTATAATTTAAATGAATTTTCTTTCAGCCTCTGTTATTAGTCAGCAAATATTTTACAAAAATTTACATGTATAATCTCATATAATTCTTAAAATAATTCTATCTGGTTGCTGCAATTTTAAAATATATTTTAGAGATGAGAAAACTGAGACTTAGGTTTGGAAATTTAAATAGCTCATATAAGTGACAGAGTAGAATTTGACTCAGACCCCCCTCTAGACATTACAGTTTTAACTACTATGCTATAATACTTACCAAAGACTTGGAGAAGTACCTGTTTTTCATCTTCTCCTGCCTTGTTTGTGGCCCTGCAGACATACGGGCCCCCATCACTATTGATTATGTTCCTGACAGTGAGTTCTTTATTGCTTCCTTTCAGTATGTACTTTTCATTTTCTTCAATAAATTTGCCATTCCTAAAGAAGAAAACAGAGGTTGATCTTCATAAACCTGACTTCATAACTTAAGATCAGATCATACTCAACTTTTTGACCTGTAACTGTCAATATTTCATGGCTGCTGTCATTGACAGATAAAGTTATATTCCAGTCAAACATACACTTTTACTAGCTCAATAGAATTTAATGCATAAATATTAAAATTACACTTGTAAGTTGTTTTGACTTTAGAGACAAAAATAACGTTTGAGCTGTGTTGAAATCTTGACACTCATCTTAGGCAAAAAACACTTTTATTCAATTTTCACTTTGATAATTAGCAGAAAAAAAAAAGTTTTATTTTCTGATTTAAATTCCAAACACACATTTCATGTTGGTGAGTCAACACATATTTATGAAATGTACTTCTTTACTAGGTTCCAGGGACACGTTTAATATAATTTCTACGGAAACACCCTTCAAAGGCAATTTAAATAAATAATGAATTTATATTGCACATAGGTACTGCCAATAAAAGGGTAAGAGGAAAGAATTACATGAAAACAGTTATAGAAATTATGCTGCGTATAACAATTTAATTCATTAGTGAGGAGAAGAACTTTTTCTCAGATATAAGTATTTTTAAGTAGTTTCCAAGGTCTTTCTGAACTGAAATAGTGTTCATTTTTTTTCAATTCGTTTTGTTGTTCATTAAAACAACATCTTTTGAACTTTACAATAACTTATAGTAAAAAAAATATTTTACATGCATTTAAATCTGAAACAATTTCTACAATTCCCCTTAATATGTGTGAAGTCTTATACTGTATATTCTTTTTCATGTTATTTTATTTTCCTCATCTCCACTTCCTCCTTCTCCTTTTCTTTCTCCTTTTTTACTTGTCAACATGGTAAAATGGACAATTAATTGATTTTAAGACCCACAAATGTAAAAATTTAGGATCTACCTTTAGGGGTGGGGGGATTTACTTGTCCATACAAGTGTGAATTAAAAAAGAGGAATATCTAAAAGGATTATTAAAAATCTTACCTAGAATGAAACAGAATATTTTTTCTGATACTCTAAATGATCTTTGCAGTGAATTCTAGTTCTTCTTTCTAAAAAGTACTGCCACATATCTTAACACAGTCCTTGTCTTTCTATGACTCAGTAACATCTATTTTTCCAGTTTTTATTGACATGTGTAAATACAACATGAAATGTGCAAAAATTCATGAGTGGTGAAAAATTAGGCCTCAATAAATACTAGTGACAAAAGTATATAGTGCTCTGTACTTTTCTTGGTTTTTTTTTCATATTTTCACTAATCAAGTATTTAGAAGTATAAATAATGACAAGATTTCAGAACTTTTGCCTAGAATTTTATGTATGGATAAGGCTTTCACCACAATTAGTGATACAATATATTTCTTAATCTAGTCAATAAAAAAGTATTCATTTGTCTCATTATCATTATCATCATCATCTAGAAGTTTCAGCAATTTGTGGCTTAGGAAACATTTTCCCTATATTATTAACCTGGTTAAATACAATTAGTTCACAGATGTGCATTTTCCCTCTCCACCCTCATTCACAGATCAGATAACTAAATTTTAAGTATGATTTCCTCACCCATCAATTCACAGATGAAGAGACTTAGGTTTAGTTTGTAATATAAGCAGCAGGTTAACTAAGTTCTAGTGTTCTTTATGATAAAGAGATTATTTCTGTACTTCATGTGAAATATTGTGCTAAAGGTCTGAAGTATAGCAAATGAGTGAGACAGGGTCACCTATCATGAAGAATTCATAGTCTGATTGATAGTAATAGAGGGTAATATAGATCCCATTAATGCATTTATTCATAACTTTGTGTGTGTGTTGGGAGGGGTGGGGTAGGGGATCTATTATAATAGAAGAGAATGGAAAAGATGATGGCTAGAATACTCTGGGAATTTTTGTGGGAAAAAAAATCCATGATCTGAGCTTTGAAGTGGATAGTAAGGTCTTGAAGAATTTAAAGGAAGTCAGGTTGTAAAGATTATGTTCCCTTAAAGAGCTCAATTTAAAAACATCATTAAAGAATAATAACTCAAGTAATAGGTCTTAATACTTCTCTCTCAACAAACCCATTATATAGAAAGTACTCATTGTTATTCATAGTACATTTCTGTGGAATGTCAATGTCTGAAAAAGACTCCCAAAGGATTCTGATGAAATTCCACTGGGCCATCCTTTGAAATTCTAACCACTTCTCTAAATGCCACTTTTCCAGGCAAAAGAAAGTAAGGGTTAGGATTAGAGGATTCATGGAAATGATAAAAAAGGGAGAACAATTCCACTCATGACCATAGTGGAGTAACAAAACCATATTTACTCTCTCATTTTAAATAACACGAACACTGGACACAGAGATTAAATAACAGTTTTCAACCATTGGTCAACAGGTAGCACATGACAGTGACCTCTGAGGACCACCATAGTTTACTACCGGAAGGCAGTTTCCAGGCTGCCCCTTAGAGAGGAAGAACCCATACAGAGTCAGGCAGTGTATCTGAATTGGAAGACAGAATTCTCAGTTGATAGAAGTTAAAGTGGCTAGAATTTGCAGGTAAGAAAATGTGAGAAGAAGGCACAAGAAAGAGAACTACAGATATCTGCAGAGGTTTCCAACCAATCTCTAACTGAGTACTAATCAGTGAGTGTACTCCAGTAAGATTTTCCAAGAGTAAGGAAAGGACCATTGGAAAAGATAAAGCACAACAATCCCAGGAGCTCACAAAAGAGCAGGAATAATTTGCGTCCTTATCATCCAGAGTAGAAAGACCTCCTAAAACACAAATTTAAACACATTAAATTGCCTCCTTACAAGAATACTGCTTCAGTAATGAAGCCAAGTTAATCTTAGACTGCAGCTTGTTCTGTATCCACCTAAAGCAGCCTAAAAGCAACCTCAAGAAGATCAAACTTTCCCCATGTAATTTAACTCCATTCAAAGCTAAAGTAAAAGAACATGAAAATATCCAACACCTCAAAACATAAAATTCTCCATGTCTGAAACCCAGTAAAAAATTGACAGGACAGTAAATAGGTAGGAAAATATGACCTATAACAAGGAAAAAAAATCAATCAATAAAAAAGATCCAGAAACGATACAGATGATAGAATTAGTAGACAAGACCATTAAAATAGCTATTAAAATATATTTTATATGTTAAAGGAATTAAAATATGGGCATGGTAAGAGAGAAATGGAAGAGGAAAAAAGGCCTCCATCAAACTTATAGACATAAACAATAGAATGAAGAAAAATACTCTGGTGGGATTAAAATCAGATTAGACATTACAAGTGAGTTCATTCCAAGGAACTCAAGGTTGTTTTAGCATTTGAAAATCAATGGAATTCACCAATTTAAAGGGCTAACAATAAAAATCCATATGGTATTCTCAACAGAAGTAGAAGAAACATTTGAATGGAAATGAAGAAAGTGATATTAAGAGTTTCTGCTTTTACTCCCACTTTGGTTTCCCGGTTCTCTTTGTGAAAATTTCTTATTTTTCCTCAATATTTGGTCTTCAACTACCTTCTTTACTGGTTTCACTCATACCTCTTGGAAATATTATCTCTATGCAATGGGTAGTGTCTGGATTTTTCTCTCTGCACTGCTGCCCTAATACTTTTTGGAATTTTTTTCACAAAGATAACATGTCTATATCTACAGATAAATATGTCACAATGAAAGCTTCCCTCTGATACCAATTTTACCTCTGTTAAGAACACTATCACATACTCCCATTCTCGCATTATATATTATATATCCAGCTACTAGGATAATTATTATTTTATTCCATCCAAACGATGAGGCTAATGCCATGTGAAAAAATGGAGGTGCAAAATCAGGAATTTAAATTATTCAATTATATTAGCCTCTGAATCTGATTTATTCTAGTCTGTATGATAATTATATTTCCACTTACATATGAGAATTTTAAACAAACGTTAAACTTTAAGAAAATAGTCTAAACTGAAAGTCAGTCTCTCCGGAAAGATAAAATGATGAGGATAAGACTCTAGACCAATATTTGTTCATTGTAATGAATGATCCAGGAGCTTTTCCTTGCTGTGATTAGATCTAATATTGACTGTTAAGGATACACACTAGAAACCAGAAGTCTCTGAGATACATGATAATTATCTGGGGTGAATATGTTAATGCTTGATGTGTAATCCCTTTAAAAATACCAACAGTGAGTCAGAAAGGAATTATTGTCTGCAAAGAACTTCTAGAAACACCTGTCTGAAGAAATATCTTGTTTATTGATACCTGCTATGTTAAAGCAATAAAGGTTTGAAACTTGAAGATAGTATCAGTAAATGTTCAGAAAGTAATAAAAAATAGTTTTGAATTTCAATTATTCTCCTTAAAATATTTTTTTAAAACCTAATCCTTATTATGGACACTTTTGCCAATTTGAATATAAATTTCTAATTGTTTTCTTGTGACTATTCTTATAGTATATGATTTATGAAGTATAGAAGTGATTCTATAAATATTTACAGATTTGCTTGAGTAGTAACCTCAATTAATAACTAATACATATTTAAAAACTGTCCATTTTTAAACTTTAATTGTCTCCCTTTTAACAGTGTGAGACACAACCTAAAAGAGTGGAATATTTTGTTATCTGTTTGATGTTAATAGAAATCAAATAGCATTTAAAATTCAAAAAAAATATAAAAGTGAACTGTAAAACAATAGATTTAGAATAGAGGATTTATTCATTTGAACATTTTGTTACATAACATTAAATTTATTGAAATTTAACTCTACACAACTAGCTTTTTCTGTAATAACACGGTACACAAATAAAATATACAATTATATTTAATAAAATATAATTATGTACACATACAACAGTGGTGCCATTCATACTAGAATTCCCACTTGTGGGTACTCTCTAGTAGGAACAATAAAATGGATGAATTTGTCACAGGGCTCCTGGGCCCATTTTGGCCAGAAACATGCCTTTTAGATAAAATGACCAGGGCTATGAGCACAGCCTTTGACTTGTGTTAAATCATTCTGTTGCTTTCTTTAACAAGTTAATTTAACCAACTTAACTGAAAACAAAAATCATTTTCAACTGAAATTCAAAAACAATGTTTCCATTCTGGACAGAATGATAAGACTGTAAATATTTTTCCGGAAGCCTGACTACGGACACAAGCCAAAGGGATGTGGGTGCATAACCTACCTGTACCAGGAAATGGTGGGCTCAGGAGAGCCAGAGGCTCTGCAGGAAAATGTCATCTCCTCTCCTCTCTCTGCTGTGGCATTAAAGGATTTCTGAGGCATTGTGATTGCTGGCGGCACTGAAAAACAGATGAATGTAGATTAAATAGAGATGAAAAACATTTTACCAACACCACTGGGACATTTTTACTGTTTTTTTTTTTTTCTTTTAAAGCTAAGCTTTACAACTTCTGCACTTATATCAAGAGGACTGACTTGGTTGCATAGTAAAATGACTAAAATCACTGATCTGCCTTCTAATGTACAATAATTAGATAATTCACTGTAATTCTGTTTTACTATTTTTAATCTATTAAACTAGACTAAAAATAAACTAGACATTTTAGCAAATATATATATATATATTTACATATACACACACTTTTATGAACTATTTCTTACATAAATACAGACAATACCACCCTGACTTACATAAATACTGAGATCTACTTGGAGCATAAATGGATTTCCTATTTAGGTTCTCATCGGTGTATGTACTTCTATAAGCAAGCATTCAAGACAGGGCTTTCAAATTAAGTGTCAAACCATAATGTTCTTTCTGATTAACTACACTTAATTTCTTCAAACAACTATACAACATTTTATGAAGAGAAGTTGCTTAATCCATAGAGAGTATGAAATAGATTTTCATGAACAATTCAATTTTAAAATTAAGCTTCCCCAATTTCTAACTAATTACATTGCAAAAACTGTATATGTTGCACATTTTGAACACGTTGAAACTGTTACTGAAATACACTGTTTGCAATAAACAAATCAATGACATCCATAACAGAAGCTAAAATTTCAAAGTAAAGCATAAATTTTTATTTAATGTACACTTTTATGATTTTTCAATTGAATATGATGAAATGATATTCCTATAATTATTTAATATATTTGATTTTACATATCCTAAACAATATGACCAGACAGGCATTTAGAAATGTGATTTTAATTAAATATCTCTACAATAGCATTCAGGTCAAAACTGATGTTGATTATCACAATTGATGGTGGGGATAGGAACTGATATGTACCTTAGTAATTAAGCACAATTAATCAAGTTTCTGCCTTTATGAATTTAGATACAAGGTGCATGACATGTCATGCTGTCTGTAAAGTAACATAATAATTACTAGTATTACAGTAGGACGGACTTTTCTTTTTCAGATGTTAACTCTGCATTTTAAGTCATTGAAATTTGACTATAGTATTCTATAGTATTCATGTAGATAGAAACATTTTCAAACGGAGAGCCATATGCTCCAGTTCTTGTCCTGTTATTGTTACTAATCTAAACAAGTTATTTATTCTTTATCATAATTTTCTTATCTATAAAGTGAACTGTAGATGCTGGATAATCTCTAAGAATTAACAAATCTTAATCTCTGTGTTTTATGGTATGTTAACTCTGCTAATGACATATGTGTTCTTACTTGTAGTGTAGATTAGTAGAAAAATATTAATATTACATGTTTAGATACTTTGAGGTACTTTGAAGAGTAATTCTAGAACTATTCTGAAGAAAAATAGCATCAAAATCTGCAGAGGTTTTCACTAGTTCAGATCTTAAGATGTTCAGGCAGTTTGCTAGCTACTGTTTCGACTGTACAGCATTTTTACATATATTACCTTATTGCTTCTGAACTCACTGTTGAGTTGGATTAAATAATTTTAAAAGAGGTAACAATTATATTTCATCTGATTATTTTTTCCTCACAAGACCAGCATCTACTCTATTTTATCTTTTTAAAAATACTTTTGGCATTTGACTATATCTGAAATGTCCAGTTTTAATAACTTTACCAAGATTTATGTTCTGTACCTGTTAAGTAGTCAATCCTTTGAAAATTTCTGTTTTTATATTTTAGCTTCAAGAAGCATGGGGATGCGTAGAGAAGTAGCTCCATAATTTACTTACATGGAAGCTTTGGTTCACCTTCAAGTTATAATTCCCCTCAATGGCTGCTTATGCACCAAAGACATCACTAACTTGATATCTTAACCCCCCTTCATCAACAGTGGAATCCAGCTAGTCTATGTATCTTCTGTGTCTTGCAGTCTTTTTCTCCACCCACTTTCCTTCAAATGTTTTTTGAAAGATAAAGAATACGGTATTAACCATGAAATACTTGTATGGTTCTGATTAACAAATACCAGTAATTTCTACAAATTTATTCAGGATAGGGATAACAAACTCCACTCTATCATTGTCAGGAAAGCAACTCTTTTCTAATTTATTGACTATTCAGATTTGTCCTAAATGTATATCATCAAATATATTCACATGTAGATCCTTTAACTGGCAGAGGACTGCTCATCTTAAGACTCAGCCTTTTCACAATTACCTTTTCTTGTTTTTACTTTTAAGGCTGCATGACACTTAGACATTCACATAAGAGAGGACTTGGGGAAGATAGCAGAGTAGGAAGTACCAGGCATCTGTCTCCACACCTACATGGCAACTGCACTGTCAGAATCTGTCTAATGTAACTATCTTGAAACTGTGGAGTCTATTGAATGCTTACAACTTCCAGGCAAAGACATGGAAGATAAGCTGTTGTTAATACTGGTCAGTTTCAGCTGTTGGTACACTGGCAGCTACCTATCCCCCTCCCCATCTGAGGCAGGAAGCTGTGCACGTGTTCCTAGAGTAGGTTGCACAAAGAAAGCCAGGATAGGCAAAAAGGACTTTGTCATTCAGATATCAACGATCTGTGCACTGATCACTGACTGATGCTTTTGATCACAAAGGTGCAGATGAACAGGTAGTGGCCATTGTTGTTATACCTCCCACAATGGTGAGATCCAGGGGATTTAATGAACTCTCATTCTTTTAGTACCCCCTTCATTTTTCTCTTTTTACCATTTTGGGAGGCAGACATTAAAGACTATGACATTCAAAAACAACTGCATATAACGGACATATTAGAAAGTGACCATGCATGTCCAGGGAAAGGTGTAGGCTTAGAAAATACCTGAGGATACCTTAAATTTACATCTCAGGCTGATCTTTGGCATAGAGACAGCCTTCAATAATAATAATAATAATAACAAGTAACAGTAAACCCTGGGATTGAGAAAGAATCTGATTTCCATAGGAAGCACTTATTATGTTCAAATATCCAGTTTTCAGAAAAAAATATCACAAGGCATACAAAGAAATAGGAAAGTATGGCCCATTCAAAAGAAAAATTAAATCAATAGAAACTGTCCCTGAAAAAGACCTGAGGGAAGATATGCTTGATAAAGACTTTCAAACAACTGTCTAAAAGATGCTCAAAGAACTCAAGAAAGAAGTGGAAAAACTCAAGGAAACAATATATGAAGAAAATGGAAATACCTATAAAGATACAGAAAACCTAAAAAAAAGCCAAAAAGAAATTCTGAATCTTAAAATTACAATCACTGAAATGAAAAATTCATTAGAGGGATTCACAAGCAAATCTGAGTAAGCAGAAGAAAGAATCAGTGAATGCGAAATAAGGCAATGAAAATTCTTGAATCTGAGAAACAGAAAAACAAAAGCTTGAAGAAAAGTGAATACAGCCTAAAAGACCAGTGGGACATAATCACGTGGACCAACAATCACACAGTGGGAGTCCCAGAAGGGAAGTGAGAGAGAAAGGAACAGAGTGAATATTTGAAGAAATAATGGCTGAAAAGTTTAGCTATGAATATAAACATCCAAGAAGCTCAACAAACTACAACTAAGATGAATTCAAAGAGGACCAGGCCAAGACACATTATAATGAAATTTTCAAAAGGCAAAGGCAAAGAGAAAATCTTGGAAAGCAGCAAGAGAAGAGTGATTCATCACATACAAGGGATCCTCAGTAATTATCAGCAGATTTTGCATCAAAAACTTTGGAGGACAGATGGCAGTGGGTGGATATATTGAAAGTGCTAAAAGGAAAAAAAAAAAAACTGTCAACCAAGAAACCTATATCCTGGAAAACTGTCTTTCAACAGTGAGGGAGAAATTAAGACATTTCAGATAAGTAAAAGCTGGAGGAGTTTGTTACCACTAGACCTGCCCTGCAAGAAATGCTCAAGGGAGTCCTACAAGATGAAATAAAAGGACACTAGAGAGTAATTCAAAGCCATATAAAGAAATAAAGAGCTCAATAAAGGTAAATACATGGGCAATAAAAAAGCTAGTACTACTGTAACAACAGTTTGTAACTGCATTTTTTTCTACATGATTTGAGACTAATATATATTTTAAAAAGATATTAGTATGATTTTAACTATGTCTTATAATTCCAGATTTTGTTTTCTACATAATTTAAGAGACTAATGCAATTTAAAGAATTGTAAATTCATGTTTTGAGACACAAAATGCATAAAGATGTAATTTTGTGATATCAACAACCGAAAAGAATGGAGTTAAGCTTTAAAGGAGCAGAGTTTTTTATATTTATTGAAGTTAAGTTAGTATAAATTTAAAATAGAGTGTTATAACTTTAGGACATTAAATGCAATACCACCAATAACCACAAAGAAAATAAGTATAGAATATACACAAAAAGAAATGAGAAAAGAATTTTAAAGTTCCACTACAAAAAACTGACTAAACAAAAAGAAGATAGTAATGTAGGAAATGAGAGACAAGAAAATCTATAAGACATTTAGAAAAACAGCAAAATGACAGAAGTAAGTCATTCCTTATCAATAATTACTTTAAATGGAAATAGATTAAATTTTTCAATAAACAAACAGAGATTGGCACAATGGCTAAAAACACATGACAAAATTATGTCCTATCTATAAGAGATTCACTGTCAATAATGAAGACACAAATAGATTGAAAGTGAAAAGATAAAGATACAATAACTAAAAAAGAGAAGGGGTGACTATACGAATAGACTTTGAATCAAAAAGTTTATAAGAGGAAAAAAACATTGTATATTAACAAATGCTTCAATATAGCAAGAAAATATAACAATTGTAAATATTTATGCTCCTAATAGTAGACCATCAAAATACATGAAGCAAAAACTGACATAACTGAAGGAAGAAATAGTCCTACAATAATAGTTGGAGACTTCAATAATACAGCCTTGATAATGCATTG